AAAAAAAAAAAAAAAAAAAATTAAAATAATGACAAGAAATAATCACCCTGCTTGGGGAGAGAAACAGAGTCTTTATAAGGACATGCAGTTGATCTGAGGGTATTTTGCTGAGTGAAACAAGCCAGTCACAAAAAGACAAATCTTGCATGATTCTACCTCCAAGAGGCATCTAGAGTAGCCCAATGCGCAGAGACAGAAAGTGGAACAGAGCTCACCAGGGGCTGGGGACTGGGGAGGGGGGTTATCATTTAATAGGCATAGCATTTCAGGTTCGGAAGATGAAAAAGCTCTGGATATCTGTTGCACAACGATGTGAATACACTTGATAATGGTAAAGATGATCAATTTTATGTTGCGTTCTTTACCACAATTCGAAGTTTAAAAACTTAATAGGAAAGAAGGAAAGGAGGGAAGAAGAGAAAGAGAAGGGCAGTTTGCTAGATGACAAGCTATAAAGAGCACGGGGAAGGGAGGAGAGGGGAGTGGGGCTGGGTACTGGGTAGGGTGGGATGAGGTAGGGCCGAGGGTGGGATGGGCAGAGGCCTCAGCCACCAATGCAGCTTCGTGTGAGATGAGGCTGTGTGGTGTGAAGTCCCCTATGACTTAGAGCCCCAGATGTTCCCCGCCCACCCAAGCTGGGCATGGGGATATAAGTGGGTCCCAACAGATGCCCACTCAGGTCCTAAAGAAGGCAGAATAGCAACCCCGGCTTTGCCCAGTTCACACTGGAGTGGCTCACCCCACCCTTCAGACAGCAGAGGGAACAAGGATCACCCTTCATTCGGCCCCACAGAGCAAGCGCCCACCTGTGCCAGGCTCCAGGCACAAGGCTGAGCAGACCCCATGCCCAGCCGTGTTGAGTGTTCATCCTGGTCCAGATGCACACTTAGCACCTGCACACTGAAACTTCAGATCAACCTCACTCCTAGGGCCGTAGTTACCTAACATCTTCTGAGCGCCTACTATGGGCGGGTACTATATGGATTGACTTGTGTAAGTCTACATCCTGAGAGGTGGGGGCTAACAATGAAACTCCATTTTACAGACAAGAAAACTGTATACAGCAAGGTTAAGCAAAACCAGCCCCCACACTGTCAAACTGTGCGGCCCCCCGCCCCACAAGTACACCCTCCCAGGCATTCAGGATGCCGTAAGACAGCAGTTCCCAACCTTTGTGGCACCAGGGATTAGTTTTTGTTTGTTCCTCTGTGCAAGATGGAGTTTCACTCTTGGCGCCCAGGCTGGGGTGCAATGGTGCGATCTAGGCTCACTGCAACCTCCGCCTCCCAGGTTCAAGCAATTCTCCTGCCTCAGACTCCTGAGTAGCTGGGATTACAGGCACCTGCCACCAAGTCTGGCTAATTTTTGTATTTTTAGTAGAGACGGGGTTTTGCCATGTTGGCCAGGCTGGTCTCGAACTCCTGACCTCAGGTGATCCACCCATCTCGGCCTCCCGAAGTGCTGGGATTACAGGCATGAGCCACCGCGCCTGGCCCAGGATGGTGAGGGGGATGGTTTCTAGGTGATTCAAGTGCATTACACTTACTGTGCACTTTATTTCTACTATTACACTGTAATCTATCATGAAATAATTATACAACTCACCATAATGTAGAATCAGTGGGAGCCCAGAGCTTGTTTTCTTGCAACTGAAGAAAACATCTGGGAGTGATGGGAGACAGTTGACGGATCATCAGGCATTAGTTAGAGTTTCATAAGGAGCATACATCCCATATCCCTCTAATGCAGTTCACAACAGGGTTCGAGCTCCTATGAGAATCTAATGCTGCCACTGATCTGATAGGAGGCGGAGCTCAGGCAGTAATGCTAGCAATGGGGTATGCGGGGAGCAGCTGTGATACTGATGAAGCTGCTCACCTCCTGCTGTGCATCCTAGTTCCTAACAGACCACAGACAGTTGGTGCAGAGGCAACCCTTGGCTGGATGACACTCCCAATGGCCGAATGTCCCGGTGAGCCTGAAGTAGGCCTGGCTCCCGCACAACCATCCCCAAAGGCCTCAGCAGCCCTGCTCACAGGCAGATCACAGCACCCCCTTCCGGCAGCCTCGACAGGTACCCCTAGGCTTCTGGCATGGGCGCGGCCCTTGTCTCAGGTCTCCACTGAACCTTAGTCCTATGCTGGGCCCGTAACTGGAAGTTCGACCAAGATGTGCCAGTTGGGTGGGTGTGCAGAACAATGAATCCCATCCCTGGTGACAGGTCCTCTGCATCAGACATGGGGCCACATGCCTTTGGGGGACACGAAGGAGCTCTGGAACAGGGGACACCGTGAGCCCCAGCCCTGGGATGTAGGAGAAGAGTAGGGAGGCCGTGCGGGCCTGCTGTGAGGAAGCAGACACCCACACGGCCTGGGAAGTGCCCCTTGCGTGGGCGTGCACACACGCTCCCACAGGAACGCCACACGCAACATGCACGTGTGCACAGGCCAAGACCACCCACCCCCACAGGACCACACCCTCAGGCACACACTTGCATCCTTCCATGTTCCGAAAAGGAAGTGGGGTCTGATCGGGGCAGCACTGGGCCCGGCTCTGAATCACAGACGGGACCCCAGCCTCCCAGAAACAACCCTGTTCAGCTCTGGGGAGAGGTCCCTGTCTGGGAAGACGCCAGCGCAGGGAGAACTGAGGGCAAGAGAGCAGCCTTTGCGAGGAGGGTCAGACCTGCCCCTTCCGGCCACCGGCCCCTCTGCCCCTTCACTTCCGAAACCCTGAGGGCACAAGGAAATGTGAGGTCCAAGCAGGCTCCCAGGCATCAGATGAGACCAGACACTGGGTTGTTGTTTTTTAAACAAAACAATATTTTATTGACACATCCTGAATGATCTGTATAAATATAAAGTGCTAAGTTTCCAATCCTTGCCCACAGGGCGAGGAGGAAGCGGGGGAGGGAGTGTTAAACGTCAGCTGAGCACAAATAACTTTCCAACGCCAGCACAGGCGTGAAAGGCTCACAGACTGACACACACAGCACAACACACCCATCACTTCCCAAGTCCCCAGCTTCCCCAGGAACACAGGGCTTGGGCTCCAGGCCCGGGGCGGACCAACCCACGGACAGGGCTCCTGGTTGTCACAGCTTGTTCCTTGGAGCTCTCAGGCTGCCAAGGGCTTCAACATGATGGTGGACCAGGGAGAGTCCACAGTATAGAGTCCAGTTGATTTCCGCCAGAGGATGGGATGGGAAAGAGCAGACACACCCTCGGTTCCCGACCCCGAATGAGGGCCAGCCTCAGTCCCCCGGCAGAAGAGCACCAGGTCAGAAAGGCCAGCATGCCGGCATTGCTAGAGCCCCCCACGGGGCTTCTCAAACTGTGAGGAGGTAGCAGCCCTCCCAGAGGTGAGGGGACTGTGCCGGCCCAGAGAGGAACCCACCAGTCCACAGTCAGCTCCTGCCAGCACAGTGAGGGGGGCAGGCAGAAGGGCACCACCTCAGTGACACAGCACCTGGGTCTCAAACTGCAGCAGCTGCCCCATGAAACTGAAGTTGGGGGAGATGATCCCCCGACGCTGCTTAACGAAGTCAAAGGCCTCGTCCAGCCGCACACGGCGACTCTGCATGAGGTAGGCCAGGCAGATGGTGGCCGAGCGCGAGATGCCGGCCTGGCAGTGCACCAGCACCCGGCCTCCGCTGTTCTTCACCCAGTCTGCAAGGGAGACGGGGGAGTGGTGTCAGACGGCATGTGCACAGCCCAGGAGACAGGTGCCCCCAGCCCTCTCCTCTGGAGCCCCTCGGGACCTCTGGGCAGAGGCGCCCCCTTACCAATGAAGCCTATGGCCTCCTGGAACCAGGCGCTGATCTCCACCATCTGGTTGTCCTCCACAGGGATACTCTTGTAGCGGAAAAGGCCCTCAAAGTGGTTGGGGCAGCTGGCGGACACGTTGAGGACGGCGGTGATGCCACACGCCTGCAGCCCCTGCAGGTCTGACGAATGGCTGCAGCTGCCCAGGAACAGGTAGGGCAAGATCTCCACAGGGCCACCCTGGAGAGGGTAGATGGACGGTGAGGCCTTCCCAGCCCAGCCCCGGAGGGCTGGAGCGGCAGCGGGTGGAGACCCCATGGGCTGGCCGACACAAGAGGAGTCCTCAGCCAGTCCTCCTGACCTGAGACAGGACTCAGGAATGTGCGGGGGACACACCGGGACACACGTGCCCCCTCACGCTCCCAACATACACATGCAAACGTACACAGACCCACACAGGCATGTGCGAGCAGCCGTGCCCCACCCCCCCAACACACACACGTACACAGGTGTGTACATGGGCAAACTGCTCGCATCCCCAAATGGCAGGCTCTTTCTCTAGAGGCGCCCAGTCTGCGGTGGGGAGGGAGGGGGGGTCCGGGGCGGGGGGCAGCACTCACCTGGTCGTAGATGGGAGCCCTCGGGTCGGAGCAGCTGGTTTTGCTCCCTGCCGGCGGCGGCAGCGCAGGGGCGGGGGCCTCAGAGCACAGATCGGGACAGCAGCCCTGGAAGCCGTCGAAGCCTCCTGCAAGGAGGGGAAGGGCACGGTCAGCAGGGAAAGCCGGGCTGGAGGCGGGTGGGGCGGGCCAAGGG